AAACTTTTTGCCCTATAATTTTTAGTCTCTTTTTTTTTTCCCCCTTCCCTTTATGTAAAGGAAAAATACACACACACTGCCAATCCCTAGGTACCTTCCCCTCTTTCATACATGTATTAAACAAGAATACCAACCACTCCAATACGTATTATATCCCCCCCTGCTTTTAACATTTCTGTCATGATTCTGTCAGTTCCAGCTGCTTTACCCCCTTTCATTCTACGTAATGCCTCGCACACCTCTCTCACACTCGCATCCTGCTCTTCTTCACTCCTAAAAGATGGTATACCTCCCTGGCCAGTGCATGAAATTACTGCCTCCCTTTCTTCATCGACATTTAAAATTTTTCAAAATATTCCCGCCATCTACCCAATACCTCTAGCTCCCCATCTACTAACTCCCTTACTCTGCTTTTAACCCTTTGACTGTTTTGGTCGTATATATACGTTTTACGAGCCAGTGTTTCGGATGTACGTATATATACTCAATAATTCTAGCGGCTTCAAATTAAGCAGGAGAAAGCTGGTAGGCCCACATGTTAGAGAATGAGTCTGTGTGGTCAGTGTGCACCACATAAAAAAAAATCCTGCAGAGCACACAGTGCATAATGAGAAAAAAAAATGACGTTGTTTTTTTGGATTAAAACGCCGATTTTGAGGTGTATTTTCATATAGTATTTATCATTGTATTCTCGTTTTCATGGTCTTGCGTGATAAAATAAAAAACATATTGCAGAAATAGAGATGATTTTGATTAGTTTCACGATGAAAACCACTTAGAAATTGAGCTCAAAGTAGCGGAAATGTTCGATTTTTACCAATGTTCAAGAGTCGGCAAATCACACCACACGTCCAATACACGTCAACTGGGGAGTCTGATATTCTTTCACTAGTGCACTGATATTATTTATACCCTTTTTACAATAATGCAGTAGTCTGCATAACAGTAAATTTTGTATTTTTTGTATGAATAAAAAATCAAAATAGAATGCAATAGTAATATAAGAGGGGCATAGAGATGTGAACAGAGGATATGTTATTTTAGTGCCAAGAATGTCTACATTGTTTATTCTGGACCCTATTTTGAAATTGGTATCTCTTTTAATTTGCGTGAAATTGGCCAAATTGCCAATTTCTGACCACTTTATTGGGTAGTTCAAACCAGTAAATGGGCAGTTTCTTGTACTCATTTGATAGAAAAAATGGAGTTCTAAAGAAATAGCTATGAGTTTGGTCAACTGGAACAACGGAATTGGCCAAAAACAGGGCTCAAATTCGGCAAAATCGCCGATGCATGTATGTCGCCGAGACCGCTTACTTTGCGGGAGCGTAATTCTGTGAGTTTTCGACCAAATTTTTTTCATACTTTTGGTGTCATTACCATCGGGAAAAGATTCTCAATCAGTTCATAAGTTTTTTTAAATTTTGCGATGTAGAATGACAGTTTTAGAAAGGGGCTTGCAACAGTCAAAGGGTTAACTGACAAATCCATTAGTTCCCTGGGCTTTCTTAACTTGGTTATCTCACTCCAAAACTTTTTCTTATTTTCATCAAAATTTCTTGACAGTGCCTCTCCCACTCTGTCATCAGCTCTCCCTTTGCACTCTCTCACCACTCTCTTCGCCTTTCTTTTACTCTCCATATACAGTGGTACCTCAGGATTCGAACAGCTCAAAACGCGAACAATTATGTAAGTGTATTTATATAAATGCTTTCGTAAGTGTATTTTTGGAGGTCTGAAACGTATTAATCTAATTGACATTATTTCTTATGGGAACAAATTTGTCCGGTATCAGCACTCAAACAGCCTTCTGGAACGAAATAAGTTTATATCCCGAGGTATCACTGTACTTGCTCTTCTTATAACACTTCTGCTTTGTAAAAACCTCTCATAAGCTAACTTTTTCTCTTTTATCACATCCTTTACTTCATCATTCCACCAATCACTCCTCTTTCCTCCTGCACCCACCCTCCTATAACCACAAACTTCTGCCCCACATTCTAATACTGCATTTTTAAAACTATTCCAACCCTCTTCAAACCCCCCCCCCATCTCCCTTCCCCACTACTCATACTTGCACTAGCCCACCTTTCTGCCATTAACTGTTTATATGTCACCCTAACTTCCTCCTCCCTTAATTTGTACACTTTCACCTCTCTCACTTGCTGTTGCCATTTTGTCCTATCTACCTCTTATTCTTAACTGTAGCTACAACTATATAATGATCCGATATATCAGTTGCCCCTCTATAAACACGTACATCCTGAAGCCTACCCATCAACCTTTTATCCAATACATAATCTAACAAACTACTTTCATTATGTGCTGTATCATACCTTGTATGCTTATTTGTCCTCTTTTTCATAAAATATGTATTACTTATTTCCAGACCTCTTTCTACACATAGCTCAATTAAAGGCTCCCCATTTTCATTTACCCCTGGCACCCCAAATTTATCTACTACTCCCTCCACAACATTTTTACCCACTTTAACATTGAGATCCCCAACCACAAGTACTCTCTCATTTGGTTCAAAACTCCCCATGCACTTACTCAACATTTCCCAAAATCTCTCTCTCTCCGCTACACCTCTCTCTTCTCCAGGTGCCTGAATGCTTACTGTAACCCACTTTTCACATCCAACCCTTATTTTACTCCACATGATCCTTGAATTTATACATTTATATTCCCTCTTTTCCTGTCATAATTTATCCTTCAACATTATTGCTACTCCTTCTTTAGCTCTAACTCTATTTGAAACCCCTAACCTAATCCCATTTATTTCTCCCCACTAAAACTCTCCCACCCCCTTCAGCTTTGTTTCACTTCAAGCCAGGACATCCAGCTTCTCATTCATAACATCCACAATCATCTCTTTCTCATCATTCGCAGAACATCCATGCACATTCAAATATTCCGCTTTGACAGTTTTCTTCTTTTTCGTTTTAGTAGGCTATACAGGAAAAGGGGTTACTAGTCCATTGCTCCCGGCATTTTAGCTGACTTTTACAACATGCATGGCTTACGGAGGAAAGATTCTTATTCCACTTCTCCCATGGATATGAAAGGAAAAGCAATAAGATCAAGAACTATTAAGATAAAATTAAAGAAAAGTTAGATGAGTGTATATACATAAATGTGTACATGTATGTGTAGTGTGACCTAAGTGTAAGTAGAAGTAGCAAGACGTACCTGAAATCTTGCATCTTTATGAGACAGTAAAAAGACACCAGAAATCCTACCATCATGTAAAACAATTTCAAGCTTTCGTTTTACACTCACTTGGCAGGATGGTAGTACCTCCCTGGGTGGTTGTTGTCTACCAACCTACTACATAAAAACTTGTATAGTCTTGTAATGCTGTCATCTATTCTCCATTTCAAAACCGTTCTAGAATATTTCTCTTTAATGCACCATATGTCCAGATTTATCATAGGCTTTTTCTGCCATTGCATATCTTCTGTATGCTTCACTATTTCTTGTTCTTCTACATTTACTATTATCAAGCATTTTTAAATTACTAAGTTCATCAGTGCTTGGTAAAACATCTTGGGTTAAAATATATTCCTGATGATAGAGCATCAGAGCTATAGTTACGAGTAGATGTAAGTATTAATAAAACTGTTGAATTGTTAATTTAATTTTTAGCATAATTGGTACTTAACCCTTTCAGGGTCCGTGCCGGAGATCTACGGCTTTACGTTGAGGGTCCAAACCGTAGATCTACGCCATGAGCTCAGCTCACTCTGATAAGCTGTGAGTGGTAAATTTGGGCCTAGATATGAGAGAATACATCTATGTGGTATGTGTGCACCACATAAAACAAATCCTGCAGCACACAGTGTATAATGAGAGAAAAAAAACTGAGACCGTGATTTTCGATTAAAACAGTGACTTTGCAGTGTTTTTTCGTATGTTTTTTATAGTTGTATTTGCGATTTCTTGGTCTCATTTGATAAAATGGAAGATATATTACAGAAATAGAGATGATTTTGATTGGTTTTAGTATTGAAATGGCGTGAAACTGAGCTCAAAGTAGCGGAAATTTAAATTTTTGCTGATGTTCAAGAGTAAACAAACGACCTCACACGTCTAATACACGCCAGCTGGCGGGTCTAATATACATTCACAAATGTGGTGGTGATATTTATGCAATTATTACAATATTGCATAACAGTAAATCTTCTATTTTTTGGTTTGAATAAAAATTTATTATGTGAATAAAAAATAAAAATGAAATTCATTTGTAAAGCCTGAAAACATAAATAATGAACAGAGGAAATGTTGTTTAGTGCCAGGAATGCCTGCATTGTTTATTCTGGACCCTATTTTGAAATTGGAATACAGTGGACCCCCGCTTAACGATCACCTCCAAATGCGACCAATTATGTAAGTGCGTTTGTACGTGTATGTTTGGGGGTCTGAAATGGACTAATCTACTTCACAATATTCCTTATGGGAACAAATTCGGTCAGTACTGGCACCTGAACATACTTCTGGAATGAAAAAATATCATTAACCGGGGGTCCACTGTATTTTGAACTTTGTGTTAAATTGGCCAAATTACCAATTTCCGATCATTTTATTTTGTAGTTGAAGCAATTGACTGGGCAATTTCTTGTGCTCAATCGATAGAATAGAAGTGATACTAGTGAAATAGCTAAGAATTTGGTCGACTGGAATAATGTAATTGGCCTAAAATAGGAGTCAAAGTCGGCAAAATCGCCGATTTGTAAATATCACTGACACATCAAAATTTGCGAGAGCATAATTTTGTCAGTTTTCCATCAAATATCGTACTTTTTGTTTTATTACCTTCAGAAAAGGATTCTCTACCATTCCATAAGAAAAAATAAAAAAAATTTGGGGGAAATTGTTGGACCCTGGTACACACTTTGAAATTTGGCCTCTGGACCCTGAAAGGGTTAAATGTTTCATTATACAAAAATTTCCCCAGAATACTTAATCCTGATATTACAGCATAAAATTTTAAATCGCAGGTGCAACTACATCAGTGTTCCCCTATAATAGCCGTATGAGACAGTATCTGGCAGCCACTAGTCGTAAGGACATTGCCAGTCTTGCTGATGCAAATATATCTCTGCTGACCCCAGATGAGGGTTCTCCATATGATCAAGTAATTGAAATTAACTTGTCTGAGCTGGAACCTCATATTAATGGCCCATTCACTCCAGATTTAGCTCACCCTGTCAATAAGGTTAGTAAATACATACTTGTATAAATGCATGCATATACCTGTTGATTTTGGTATGTATTTGAGACATTCATGGACTCCCCTACGAGAACTTAAAAATAAAAAAACAAGACAATAGACTAGTGGTCCATGCTAGATGGGTCTTGCTCATATCTAACCACTCCCACTCATGTACGGTACCTGTCAAACCTTTTCTTGTTTAAGCTATTTAAAGTATTAAGTTCATTGTTGCTATTTGGCAGGTTGTTTTATTAATCAACAACTTTAATTTCATCTCCATGGGGAAGTGGAACAGAATTCTTCCTCTGTAAGCCATGTGTGTCGTAAGAGGCGACTAAAATGCCGGAAGCAAGGGCCTAATAACCCTTTCTCCTGTATACATTACTAAATTTAAAAAGAGAAATATTCATTTTTGTTTTGAGGTGACCCTGCCTCAGTGGGATACAAATGGTTTGTTAAACAAATAACTTTATTTTCAAACTAAATCTATATTTATCCACTATTTTTGTTAGGGAGTAAAAAGTATTTGTGTGATGTTTTTGAAGGTTTTATGTGGATGTAGTAATTGTTCCACTGTATACACACACACCAAAAAAAAAAAAAAAAACAGAATTAATTTTAGACAAACTTAGTCAGTGACCTTGGAAGTTAGGTTGTAGTTGAGTGGCTATAAAATTAAAAAGATCATAAAGGGTAAAATAAAAAAGCATGATATCTTTATAATCCAGTGTTGTATTGATGCAGATTTTGTTAATATTTATCCTGAAAAACAGTTTAATGATTATAGCTGGCTTTTTTTTTAACTGCCCTGGAGTTTTTAATGCTTGTACAAGTACAGCACCAATTTACTGCTAATGAAACATCCAGCACCTCTTTTAGTTGCAGCTCTACCACTTTGGGAGTGGTAGTATTGCAACATTCTTTGTACAGTAATAAATAAACCTGTTTCATTTATGCTGATGTTCAGTTTGTTTCCAGTAGACCATGGTGGGTCAGATGTATTGTTAAATTATTATTATTATATGATCTCTGTTGGTGCAGCAAAGCCTAGGAACCAAGAGTGCCAGAAAATTGGCATTTTTGCCT